ACGTTTTAATTTTAGAATTTGTTATAAAATTTGGTAGCCATATTGAATCCGCCATTTGCCTTCTTTTTTCTACCATGCATACATATGTATGTATGTATTTAGATCTCGCTTAAAAATCGATACATAACGGGTGATTTTTTTGAGGTTAGGATTTTCATGCATTAGTATTTGACAGATCACGTGGGATTTCAGACATGGTGTCAAAGAGAAAGATGCTCAGTATGCTTTGACATTTCATCATGAATAGACTTACTAACGAGCAACGCTTGCAAATCATTGAATTTTATTACCAAAATCAGTGTTCGGTTCGAAATGTGTTTCGCAAACCCAATTGCTGCGAACGGCGACGAATCGACATTTCACGGTCTTCAGCAACACTCTCAGAAACAGACGCAATATTCTCTTCTGTACGCACTGTACGCATTCGTGTGGTTGGTTTAATGTCCAATAAAGTAAACTGAGTGCGAAACTTGGTCACAATCGCATTAATTGTTTGCTCACTTGGTCGATTATGTAGACCATAAATCGGACGTAAAGCGAACCGAACACTGATTTTGGTAATAAAATTCAATGATTTGCAAGCGTTGCTCGTTAGTAAGTCTATTCATGATGAAATGTCAAAGCATACTGAGCATCTTTCTCTTTGACACCATGTCTGAAATCCCACGTGATCTGTCAAATACTAATGCATGAAAATCCTAACCTCAAAAAAATCACCCGTTACTAAGGCATATCGTCACTAGACACGAATAAAGGCGCGAGCTCAAAAGTTACCGGCGAAAAAAGACGCATAAGAAAATTTCAGCGTCAAAGACTCTTAACATACTTCGCCAAAGTTTTTTATAAGCATCTTTTTTCGCTAAATTTTTTTAAACGCCTTTTTTTGCCGCCAAAACACTAGCGCGCCTTTATTCGTGTGTTGTGACGATATCATACAAGTAGTAAGTAGAGCAAAAAAAAACATTTGCGTGTATTTTGTTGTTGCTTCTGGTATCGAAAGTGTCAAAAACTGTTCCGATTTTTTCTTCTAAATCAAAGCGTGCCATGTGTGATAAAAAATAAAAAATTTAAAAATTTAGTTGAAAAAAATAAAATTTTTTGCAACTTTCCTTCTTACTAAATTTGTTTGCTTCTCGAAGCATTGATCAATGCTTTGCAAGACCCAGTAATCAGCGGTCATCTACTATGCAGTGCCTAAAATAATTGAAAAAATTGTTATTACCGATTTTTTGCTGGGAAGTAGCATGCAGATGTACATACGTATGTATGTATGTAAAGCTGTACCTCCCAGCAAGTAAACCATTTTTTGTTTCCCTTTTTTCATCTGGTTGGTGAACCGTTTCTTCATTTACATTTAACCTATACATGAATGCCTCAAATGCCAAATCGATTAACTCCACTTTCTGAAAAATCTTAAATTTAAGTATCCAAGCAATTGGTATAGTCAAAACTATTATATTTATAACAACTTTATATAAAATATAATATTTATTATAACATTCTTGATTTGAATGTATATTATTAAACAGAATTAAAGAGAGATATATGTTGTACATTTTTTGATTGCAGCTCTCAATATTTTGTTAATGGAGTTAATCGATTTGGCAATTGAAGCATTCGCATAGTACTGTTTTCTGGTTTTTTTTCTTTACAGATAACTCGACTGCGTCTGATGCGTTCAATGGTCTTTTCACGCACGCGTTGCACCTACATATTGAAATGTATGTATGTAAATAGTATGTGAGTGTGAATATTGCACATCTCTTCACTTATTGTAAGCATGTTTTTTAAAATGAAGAGATTCCTTGGCATCAACATCGACATCGATTTGACAAGTGCTTGCATACTTTATGCTAACTCGCATTGATTAGTTTTAAAATGCGATCAAATTAGTTGAAAAATATTTAGTAAATGGATTTTTCTTACTTTATTTGTTTTTGGTTGTTCTTGTTTGTTTGTCAAATTTTGTTTCGAAACACACCGGTTTCGACGTTGTGCCATCTTCAGTGTAATTTTCCATTCTGGTTCATTCCTGTGTCCTGGTTATATTATTATAGTACTATGTATATCATTTTCTTAGCTACGTACTCCTTCGGTACGACAGGTGCACCTTCTTAGTTTTGTGATTACCAACACGTAGATTAATTTTTATGACTTGTCTTTACGGGCAGGTAGAAATCTGTTATTTTTGCCTGCTTTGTTTTTATACATAGTCTGTCATTCCTTACGAGCTCATCCTTAACGTTTAGTTGTTGTTGTTCTTTTTACATAGCAGCTTTAGAGTTCAAATATACGAACGATACGATGACATGGTACTACAAACAAAAAAACACACGAAATTCACCTGCAACAAAACTTACAGTAAAACCCACTTAAGTACCTCACGAAAAATGTAACCTTTTTGAGGTAGTAAGGCGGGTTGGGTACTTAAAAGAACCTGCTTAAGTACCTCGATGCCGGTACTTGAGCGAACATAATTATTTATGTAGTTACATCTTCCTGTTGACTAACATAAATAAATCCTAGAATAAAACATGAACATTTATTGAAGTATACGTAGTTTAAAATCAAGTTCGTAGCATTATTGAAACACATAAACAAAAACTTTATAAAAAAAAAAATCGATAAAGCAATGTTATGTAATTTTTACAAGAATTCAATTCTTTAAACTCATTGATTATTCATTTTTATACACACATACAGAAAGCGTTGGGCATATCTTTCATTTCGGACAAAATTCAAAGTGATGTTGTTTGCCACTTATATTTATTTATTACTTTTTAAGATTTTTCAATTTAGAGTTCATTAACAAATCTATCTTCTTCTTCTTCTTCTTCTTCATCTATATATATAAATGCAGATGTCTGTTTGTTTATTACCTTATAACTTTTTAACTACGGCACGTAGCGCGAAACTTTGCACACTTATTTGCATTTACCCCGGGAAGGTTACCGGTATGGTTTTGTTTGCAAATATGGTGTCACTTTTGCGAGGGGGCATCTGGCACCTCCTAAAGGCCTACGAATTTTTAATCAGCTAAAACTTCGGAACCATAAGTCACATAAAATTTAAATATGGTATGAGTTTATGCAACTTCCACGTGCTGCATTAGGTGTAATTTGTTTTAATTAAACTCAAAATTCTTAAAATATGTGAAAATCCGGAGACTTTAAATGTTTTAAATATCTTCAAAATATTTTCAAACTAAAACTATCTTAAATCTCTCTCTTGTGATACTTTTTCATACATATAGTTTAGAAATAAGGCCATTTAAAAATCATTTCGATTGATACCCATATAGTAATAATTCATTGAAATGATTGAAAATTTTGAATTTAATATTTTAAACCGTTAATTCCTTTAATTCAAGTTGAATTTGAATTTTCAAACATGTAGAGTCCCTGCTATACATATGTTGCTTAGAAATAAAGCCTTTTCAAGACTCTTCCGATTAAAACATAGATTTTAGTAACTCATTAAACTTATAATATAATTGTATTCGAATTTAAATTTCAAACAGATGGCAACCCTCTTCAAAAACCTCAGAGAACTCTACATATTCAAGCTGAACATTTCTTATTTAAACTCGACTTTTAAAACAGGACGCAACCCTTTTCGAAATATTTTCCTATTAAAACCCTATCAAATCCCTTTTGTCTGACGTCCATATTGTCATACATATTCCAATTATCAAATTCCTTTAATTGAAGAAGAATTTTATTTTTCAAACAGATGGCAACCCTACTACATGTAGTTTCGAACTAAAACCGTTATCAAAAACTTTTCGATTGATACCCATATTGTAGTAATATATTTAAATTAAATGAATTTAATTTTTAAACGGGTGGCAGCGCTTGTAAAACACCTCAGAAATTTTTCAAATGTTCAATCTAAAGGTTTCTTGGCAATCTTTCATTTGAGACCCATATATTAATTTTTCAGATAGCTTGCTAATAATTAATTTAAATTTGGCTTTTCGAACAGGTGGCAACCCTTTTCAAAATACTTTAAAACTACATCTTTTTTATGCCTCTTGTCATCCATTCTTTAATATAATTTTCAAATAAATTATTAACTTAATTCAAGTCAAATTTGATTTTGTAAACAGGTGGCAGCCCTCCTCCACGAGTATGGAATTGATTTTATATACATATATGTATCTATACCAAGTTCCTGTATTCTATCAAAAATATTTTTTGAGATATGATACGCGGTATGAAAATTCAGTTTTATGATTAAATCTATCCTATATTTTAAGTTGGGATAAATGGCAACAGTGTACACAATTTAATGGGAATCGGTTGAGTAGTTACGGCGTGAAAGCGTAACAAATAAACAAACTCACTTTCGGATTTATAATATTAGTAAGGATCTGTATCAAACGAAGGAGTGTTAAGAAATGTTTAGTTTGGACATTTCGAGCATTTACGTTTCAAGATGATTGGCATGTTTTTAAAAAGTTAAATTCAAATTATTTAATAAGTTAAATGAATTATTATAAGATGGGTATCAATCGAAATGGGTTTAAACAGGCTTTATTTCTGACCTGTGTTGAGGAGGATTGCCACGTGTTTAAAAATCAAATGCTTTTGAAAAGGACTTCCAACTGTTTGAAAAATAGAACTTAGAACACATATACAGGAGTTTTATGAAATATTAAAATATGAGTGTCTATCGAAAGAGATTTATTAAAGCTTTTCCGATCAGGCTTGCTACCTGGATAGCTACCAGTTTTAGAATTTCCAACAACTTCCGATTATGCAATTATGTAGTGGCATCTGTCTTCGCATTGTCAAAAAAAGATTAAAAATCAATTCATTTGCCTTGCTGCGAGATTCAGCTGTGAATACAAGAGCATGAATAAAACCGTTTCTGGCTCTCAGGCCCACTCGTTCAACTGTGCCTGAAGGTTTTAAGGATTTTTCAAAATACATAAATAAATTTAAGTTATTGAGAAAGAATAACCATTTAGGCCGACATTGACAAAACTTATTTCTTTCCTTGTATAAATTATATTGATATTGATAAAAAATCTTGCATTAAAAAGGTCAATTCATTGCTTTCATTGAGAATAATTTTTAATATTTTGTATAATAAACCGAAATGCATTTATATCTAACAATTAACTGATATTGTAGGGGCTGTGCGAACTCCATATCATGTTTTGTTTTTTACGTACATACATACGTCAAATTCAGGATACCAGTTAAGGGTTAAAATATCCGATTACCAAATTATAGTTCCGCATACTTTAACTTTGTAAGGCACTTTAGGTATGCACTTGTAACAGCTTAGTTGTATATTTCATCCCACATTTGCAGTCGATCGATATTCCATGCACTATCAACCCGGAATGGTTCGACATCCTTCACAATTGACAAATACTGGCATTGACCATCCGCTAAGGATGCCTTTGTGCAAGCGTTCATTTCCTCAAATTGCTTAACTTTCCTGGAGAAAAAATTCTAAAATTAATATCTACTTTCAACTCGCACTTTCCACAAATTGGCTAACCCAGTTTTGGCAAATTCCACGTAAAGATCCACATAACGTTTAACCAAAGCTGCCTCTGGAGATGTTTTCGCATAACCCAAAGGGAAGGTTTGCGATGCCCTGAACAGGAATAGTGAATCATCGCCGTGAGCAGTACTAAAGTTTTTATAGCTGCCAGTATATATTTTAGAAAATGAATATGGGCCACGATAGTCGTATTTTATAATTCCAATCACATTTGATAAACACTCAGCCGTGGCATCTGAAGATGAATCCTGCGAATTGTCTGATGACAAATTAACCGCCGACTCACGTGAGATATCTGAATCTAACTCATCAGACCCAATGACAGCATCAGCGTAAAAAGCATTTACTGGACAAATATCGGCTGCATCACTCGATGTTTGGGAAGTTGAAATATCCGTCGTTGCGGTTGCACTCGAAGTTTGGGAAGTAGAAATATCCGTCGTCGCGGTTGCACTCGATGTTTGGGAAGTTGAAATATCCGTCGTCGCGGTTGCTGATTCAGTAGTTGATGTGTCTGTACATGAGTTCCCACTATTGAAACTAGATTTAATGGTTCTGTAGGCAGGATAAATAAAATTCGCATCACCTAAAAGCTAAGGAAAATCAATGATCATTTGAAAAATGGGAGATTCTTTTGGATTGTTTTTTTTTTCTTGTATACAAACCTCCCAAAATCCATTCAATGTATAGTCATTCAAATAATACGTCCCTTGCATATACACTGAGACTAACTTTTCGAGTACTGCGTCTGAAGCCTCTACCTCTGGTATGTCCAATATTGCACTCAACAACGGTTTAAAATTGCTATTGAATTTATTTCGCAATTGTTGATTACTTGCCAGACGAAGTGCTAGCACCATACCTTCACCCGTTGCAGGTACATTACCTATAATCGTTGGAACGGTTATGGAATTAAAATCGCCGGAAAGAGTGGCAAATGCTTCTTCTGTTAAAAATGCATTCGGCCAATTTGAGTCTTCGATGTTGGGACGGAAAGTTACTAATGGATAGGGATTGCTAATTTTCAACTTATCGATAGCTGAAAGTAATGTAACTTTATTTATTTTTCGTAACGCCTTAACCAGCTCAGTAGTGTTTAGGCCAGCAGCCCCTTTGACACCGGCAAAGTGCGCCAATTCAATGGCTTGAGTTTTCGGATCGGGCACGGGCTTGGCATATGGTGCGTTTGCGTCACCACTAATCAAAATGGCGCCTTGGAATAAACCTGCAATGTGTGTAGAGAGATTAGGTATACATATGGAAAATTGTATGTGTTTGCCTAGTAAAAACGCGAAATACCTTTTGAGGCAGGGCTCACCATATGGAAATGTGCAGATGCAGCACCAGCACTATGACCGAAAATAGTTACACGTGAAGAATTTCCACCGAAAGCGGAAATATGTGTGTTAACCCATTTAAGTGCTAAATTCTGGTCCTTTAGACCGAAATTTCCCGGCATTTCTTCATCGTTCGTACTGAGGAATCCTGAAATACATATTGTTTGCGTAAGTTTACTTTTTGTTTGTAATTATTTTTATAACTAGTTGCTGTAACTCTTACCAAATGGGCCCAAACGATAAGCTGGCACAACCAATATAACTTCGTTTGTATTCATAAGGTATTCCGGCCCTTCGACGAAAGGACTTGCCGATCCACTGAAAAATCCACCACCGTGAATGTAGAACAAAACTGGCAAATTTTTAGAAGTGTAGTTCTATGACATAACAAAAAAAAAAAAACAAAGCTATTTGCTATTAAGCATATTCACTTAAAGAGATAAAAGCGTTGCAAAAATCTAAACATATTTTTAAGTTATTCATTTATTTTTATCACTCGCACCTTGGGACGGTAAACATTCAAGTAAAGGCAATCCTCAGAGCCGGTAATTGGTGCCGCAGTCTGGACATAATTTTTTTGTATGCAATTTGGTTTCGGAATTTTCGTTAAAATTGTGCCGTTCCGAAGTTCTGCTTCTACTGGATTCTAAAAACGAAAAATGTGCAAATATTAAAACTTTTTAAATTTGTATTCCAACTTTCGCTTACACTAAATCGCAAATCACCAAGGGGCGGTTTGGCATATGGTATGCCTAAAAAGGCTTCAAATAGACTGGTTTGATAGCCGAGCATAAATTTTCCAAGTAAACAAGTCGAGTTATTGAGGCAAACTTTCGGTATTATTGCTCCTGTGAATCTAAAATTGGAGCAATACACAAAAAATAATAAAATCAATACGTTTCGTCTCATTTCCGCGTTGGTTCGATACGATCTGGTAATGAGAATTGCAAACATTCTGAATTTACTCCTAAATTCAGTCTTTTATACTTTGTAAAGCAATTAGGGAAAATTAATTTCTAAATGTGTCAGTTATGCAAATTTGTATTTGCAAATGTGCATATGCTCGCACATTATTAGTGTGCACCTTATTTTTTAAACTTCGCCGTACCAGGCGAGATTTCTCCTACAAAAGTGCGTCGTGTTCTGCAGAAAATTTTTAAAATTTGCACGTCGATGTTGCGGGTTCGATCCTTGCTAAAGTCTATGTAGATGAAGAAGTCTGATGAGGAGATGTGATGATCTGAGAAATAGCAGCGTTAGAAGCTCCGCTTGGATTTTGTTGCTTTTTCCATTTTTTCTAATAAACATAATCGTGGTACAAAGCCCAATGACAATATCAAAGTATTTTTGTAAGGCAATTTTGATATGTTTTTTTTTTATGCCGAACGTACTGTACTTACCCATCAGCTCTCAGTTCCTACCACCCAAATGCCAATAAATGAAAGCTCGCCAATAATCACAACATTTTTCCTCAGTAAGTATTTCGATTTGAATGCAAAATTCGATTTTTTTTTTTGTGTTGGCAGTTCTTATAACTCAAACGCCAAGCAATTAAAGTCCACCAAAAATTATAAAACGTTTAACTTTTGCTTTGGAAGTATTTTGATTATTTCAGTAATACATATTTTAAATAAAATTTTGTATTGCAGAATGTAGGTGTCCTCAAAAATCTAAAAAGGCGACCCCTAAGTTTGGGCAAAAAATTAAAATTTTTCGAAATTGCCTTTCAAAAATATTTTATATTCGGGAGCTTACGGCGAATTTTTTGCTTGCATGTAAGGTGGTACGCTCTAATATGCACACTATTTTGATATCTCCCAATTAAAAATAAAAGATCAAAATCTAGAAGGCTAAAGTTCTACGAATTCGGTGTACTTGCGGTCCTCCCCGCACGTCTCTACATTATCCGATTTTGACATTTTTTCGCCAAACACGTTTTTATGACCAAACAAACCTATCCGAGGGAAGTTGTGCTTCGTAGCCTAGAAAAAAATTTCTTCCATAAAATAAGGCGCACACTAATGTGCATATCATCATTATAGATAAATTTAATTTATGCAGATGTCCCCCACTACTTATAAGCATAGCCGATAAACTTCTAAAATATATTACCTCGAGAAACTTTTGTTAAATAAGCTACTAGTAGGTACATATTTAGTAGATGTTTTTTTTTTTAATAAAATTTTGTTTAAATAAAGGTATATATAAAAACCACTAACGAGGTCTGAAATCGATCTGCGTCGCTTATACGGCAAATGTGTGGAAATGTGTGTGGAAATGCGTGTTCCAAGTTTCAGGAACCGCGATGAAGAATTGCATCCTTCAAAAGGTGACTTTGTTTCCACCGAACACTATGATGTATATCTGCCTACGCTGTAGGAATATAATGGAGTTATTAACTACATCTTCTACTCCATTACCTGCAGTGCTAAAATCGGACCTTTGGCAACACAAACGAGAGATAGTTTGTACTCTACTTCGGACAGCAGTCCGAGTGCGGATATGTGGGTCCAACCTCCGTCTAATCGGTAAACTGAAAAAATCCGCATTTCATCCAGTTTTTCCTCCTTTTTCGGATCGGTTTTTTGCTAGCCCATATTTACAGTCAAAACAAAAAAATTTGGACACCACATATTGAGGAGATTTTACTATTTTTCCTTTGTTTATTTAATGTTTATTAAATTTTATTTAAACTCTCTCTTCTTTATTGACATCCTGCACTCTGAAATCTCGTTTGGTATCAAACGGCTCGGAGAGTTCCTTCCCAATTCTAACGGAGCTGGTGTTATTGCTTAACGTCGTTTTACATAGCCGTATTCAGACATCGCGGCATAAAGATGACCTCTTTTCGTGCTGTCAAAAGCGGCTTTGAAGTCGACACCAAGGTGGTGAGTGCCGATCCTTTTCTCGTGGGTCTTTTCCAAGATTTGACGTATTGTGAATACCTGATCTATGGCGGATTTGCCAAATCTAAAGTCACAATGATAAGGTCTAATTACTTTGTTGGCGATTGGCTCCAGTCTTGCACACAATACGCTCGATGCTTAGAAGGCTGATCCTGCGATAATTGGCTCGTATGGCGGGGTGGCCTTTCTGGTGGATTGCGCAGAGCGCACATAAATTCCAGTCGTCGGACATGCGTTTATCTTATCATCGATTTAGTGAATTTGTAAAAATTCTGAATTGGATCATGTACCCACATACAAATTGTACGGGACTAGGAAAAATTATTCTATCTACTTTTAGTCTTTCTATTCGATTTTTTTTTATGCTGTTTTATTATACCAAACATTGTACATTGGCATTTTCCACAGTAAGCAAGTTTACAAGAAACCATGAGCTACAGCATAAGTGGGATAAACCCCTACTTAAAACCTTCATAGAATTTAGCCTTTGAAAACATTAGCACGCGCTAGACGCTTATGTAAAACAATGAATTTGTATCTAAACAAAATATCAAACTGAACAAATATTTTCAGTAATATTTGTGCAAGCCTTCAGATTAATTAAATTTATCCACAGAAAATATTATCAAAACTTTTTTAAATGTTTTACAACCACTTCAGGTGTGTAAATAAAAATCGACAGTGCTACAACATTACAGGAACAACGCGCAATAACCTGTTTTTCGAACAATAACGCGAATCTACGTATTATGTCAAAATATTGCGTTATGCTCTGCGGAAACTAACTCACTTATTGTTGAACGAAATTTGCCTCCTATGCATTATTTCCCTCAGTGTATTCAGCGTAGCCTCGATTTTGATGCCATTGGCTACAGCTTGTGTTTATTTGAGGGTGTTATGTGGCGCATCACATGCGCTTTATATGTATGCTGAGCGATGGCCTATCGTGGTTGGTAATTGGTTGAGTTCTTATAGTTCATTTTCGCTTTGGGTATGACCACCATTTAATCTTTATTTGTTTTTTTTGGCGAAATCGATTTGTCGGTATACTATTTTTCTGCTCGCTTATGAATAGCCTTTAGTTGCATGCTTGTTATTCATACCGAAGATGTGGTTTTAAAACAGGTCTTATCGCAGTCGTTTTTTTGGATGACAGAATTTTTCCATTTGAGTGCCGTAAGTCTGGTTTTTCTCTGCTCTTCACGGTACTTTAGGTGTAGGGTATGAATGTGCTGTTTTAGTGACCACTTGCGGCTTCTGGAAATAGCATCACTTTAGTCAGCAACTAGAAGGCGTAAAAGTGTCCTTGGCTCAGTCAAAGAACAGCAAAGATATTTGCCCAAATAACTAGTTTGTGCAAATGACCATGCAAGAAATATTATTGTCCGCAAAACGTACAAAACGGTGACGCTTGGCGCTACTTGACTTCTTCGTGTAGTATTAATTCGTCGATCAACGATTTTATATGTACATACATATGTATGTATGTATGGAGCATAAGGAGTCTATAAGCAAGCATTTGTTATGAAAAAAACTCTAACTGGCTAACCAGAATGTAGGTATCACAGCCACAAGCTATTTCGCTAGCTATATCAGCAATAATACACCACAACCACAGCTACATATTGTGGGCAGTTTAGAGCCGGGATGGGCAGATGTCTGGCTCTTAAAGCAGCCAAAGAGCCAGCAAGCAAGTGCTACGCAAGATGTAAATCAGTTCTCAGGGTAAAGGCGGTGTAAAAAATACCTTAAAAAGCATTACATATATACACATATTATTAAAGAAAGACGGAGTATAAAAAATTTTAATACACTCTTCCTCCCCCTTCATGCTGGCTCTTGATGTTACCCCTCATCTAGCACCTAAATGTGCTAAGCCGGCTCCTAAGTGCAGAGGGCTCTTGGGAGCCACTTTGCCCATCTCTGGTTTAGAACATTTACTTAGAATATTTTAACTTGTGACAGCTCTTGCTACATACCTCATCATTCTTGGTCAGCCAGTCAAACAAATCTTTGTAGCAAAGCTTAACGAATTTTTTTCATCGTTAGCCTATCAACAATTATCGAAAAGAAAATTTCAAACTTTGCGATAGAAATGGTAGAAAAAATTTTATAGAATAGAAAAATTGTAAAACTGATCGCAACGTTGCGATATCGATCCGAAATTTGCCGCTAAATGGTTACAGAATGCTGATTCAAATTGTACGCTTCGTTTTTTTCAGATCGGTTCTTGTTTGCAGCCGCTGTGGTCCTGGCTTCGATGCCTGGTCGGGGCAAAATCTAAATAGAACAAGTAATTTTTAGCAAAAAAAAAAACCGACTTCAACTCTCATATACAAAAAAAATATATATGTATATATATCTCATGATGCGCTGATCGGATCTTAACCAGATTAGTATGGGACCACCTCTGAGACACTACCTTTCCGATGCAAAAAGAATTATCGAAATCGGTTGACGTGGTCCAAAGTTATGCGGTAACATACATAAAAAAAAAAAAATAAAATAAATATTCCGACGAACCTGATAACCTCCTCCTTTTTTGGAAGTCGGTTAAAAAAAATTGTTGCTAACACGGGTAGCCCCTCGGCAGGCAATTGCAAATCTCTGTGTGTTCTGTCATGAAAAAGCTCCTCATAAAAATTCATTTGCCATTCGGAGGCGGCATAAAACTGTAAGTCCCTCCTTTGTATAAAAACATCAAAACGTATACCACAAATTGGAGGAGAAGCTCGGATAAACACTTACATATATCGTCGGTCCCTACGAAGAGTAGCACATTTCACTATTCGCGTGGAAGACTAGCACATTTCACTATTAGCGTGGAAGACTAGCACATTTCATTATTCGCGTCGAAAAGTAGCACATTTCAGATTTT